ACACACACACACACACACACACACACACACACACACACACACACACACACACACACACACACACACACACACACACACACACACACACATGTGAGCGTGAAGCCATGAGGCAAGCTGTCCACTTCTATACAGCAGCATCGTCTGAGGAGCAGCACACACACACACACACACACACACACACACCTTTCGATCATGGTGTTGAGGAACTTGGTAAGGTCGCCGTGGTCCATGTGGGAGGCAAGCTCGTTGGAAGCCCGGGCCAGGCTGGGCAAGATCTGCCTGCTGACCTCGAGCTGTCTGCGCAGAGCGGAAACGAAGACCTTTTCCTCATCCAGGTCGCGAATCTGCGGCATGTCCACAAACTCGTTGAAGATGTCGACGTAGATTTCGTGGATCTTCTGGATGTGCGGGTTGATGCCGCAGATGTACGGCAGCGAGTGGATGTCAAGGATGCGCCGCGCCAGGCGCACCGGCAGCGCGGTTCTCAGGAAGTTGGCGCTCTGCAGCAGCATGCGCGCCTTGTCTGAAAACATGAGGTCAAACTTCACCAGGTGTTCCAGGCTCACGCGATGCATGGGCCTGGCAGCATGCTCCTTGAAGCGGCGATCGTAGAAGGAAACCTGCCGTGTGGCGCGCCACAGCACCGCTGGAAGGCCCTGGCGACCCATGACTGCACAATCAAATGTATGGATGGTGGTTGCTCTTGGCGTCTCTGTTTGCAGCTGGTAACGGAAGCGAGGGAACGTGGGTAACGGGCTCTGGGCTGACTTCGGAAGAAGCGGTGCGCAGGGAGGAGTTGCGCCCTCCCCCAAACAAGATACAATGAGCACGAAGAAGGTGATGGCCTTGCTTGCGGCAAACTCCAAGTAACCGAACGGCTTCACCCGGGCTGCTGTAAAATAACAGGGCACAAGGGTCACCTCACATCTGCCATCAGCCGGTGTTGCTTGAGCACGGGAAGAGCAGAGAAAGAAAGGAGGTGTCAATGGGTTACGATGAACGTGTGAACGCGCAGGCAGGGCGGCTGCTGACGATGCAAAAGTCGTGCTCTTTCTTTGGTTTGCTTGCTTCTTGGTTGTTTGCTGTTGATCGGATGCGATGAAAGTTTGGGCGATTTGTTGGTGCAGCGGCGTATTTTCTTTCATGGCCACAACGTTACTCAACAATGGGCAGTGGGAGGACAAGTGGTGGCTTGCTGCAGGGTGCTGGCGGCGCTGATGTTGATAGTGATGGTGACGGAACCGCCGAAGGTGCATGTGTGGGGAGCACTAGGCAGGGTGGGAAAATGAGCGTCAGGGGCCACGAGCAAGGTACCGCTGCGATACCGCGGCGGCAGCAAGATGGACGACAGCAACAACAGTGGAAGCTCACCGTGACGTTGGATGTGCTGGAGATTACCATCATGGCAACGCTCACCCTGGCTGCGCTGGCGACCCGCCTCTACAACATCCACCAACCACCTTCTGTCGCGTGAGTGAGTGCTGAGCGTATACAAAGGCGCAAGTTGGGTGTGTTTTGGAGGTGGGTGAGTGAGCATGGCTGAAGGTGTGTGTGTGTGTGTGTGAGTGGGTGGGTGTGAGAGACAACTTGTGTGCGCGTGCTTGTGAGTGGATGTGCGTGATTGTGTGTGTGTGTGTGTGCTGGCTTAGAGCCTGGCAACGTATTTGTACTTCATTGTGTGTGCTCACTGTGGAGCTCAAATCTGCGACCATCCTTGACGATGCCATGTTCACACGCACACACACACACGTGCGCGTACACACGCACACACGCACACGCACACACACGCACACACGCACACACGCACACGCACACACGCATATGCACATGTATATCGACGTGTAGATGGGATGAGACGCACTTTGGAAAGTTTGCCAATCGTTACTTGAAGCGGCAATTCTACTTCGACGTCCACCCACCCTTGGCCAAGGTAATCGATTGTGCACGTGCTTGCGAACCCCACGCACCAGCTGCGAGATAACCAAGAACACGGCGCTGCGATCCATCGTGGCGTGTTGAAGTTGCCCTGCGACCCTCCTCGTGCCACGGTGTACATGTTTTTGGCTTGTTATGCCCACTGGAACTTTTGGCGCCTGTTTTGAAGATGCTCATTGCACTTGCAGGCCTTGTGACCGGTTACCGTGGAGACTTTTCCTTTGAAGGGCCAGGCACACCTTACGACAATGACTTGTACATTGGCATGCGCGTGGTCAGTCATTATGTAAAGTGCGCGTGCCTGCCTGGCCAGTGACGTGATGAGTGAGCATGCTCCTGCCCAACACAATGCACTGATTGCACCACCACCCGTGCACACGCACCACTCATCTTCTTGTCCTTGGGTTCAGTTTTGCGCATGTGTTGGGGCCATGTGCGTTCCGCTTGCATACCTGACGCTGCGCCAGCTGAGCTGTTCTCGCGTTGCCGCCATCACAGCGGCGTCCCTGGTCCTTTTCGGTGCGTGCATGCAGCCGTGTGTGTGTGTGTGTGTGTGTGTGTGTGT